TCCGCTGTCCTCCCTCCCCAGCCTCCAGCACAATGACAATGAACAAATGAACAAAATATTATATAATCTTTACAGATTACTGAAGGGCTAAGACCAGTTGATCTTAGATATTTGAGATAACCATCCATCACCAGAGCGAGGGGTTGAGGGACTAAAACTATAGCAAAGTCCCCAAGAAACCTCAAACATGAAACAACCACGAACCATGCAAATGGATTACTGTCAATTTTGGAGGACAGCCACCTTCCCAACATCCACCTACTCCTTCCACCGTTCGTCCACCGAGGGACGTCCATCGTTCGTGGAACAAGGAGGGACAGTCCGAACCGCTGTCCGTTGACGTGGACCCATGAGATCGCCCAGTGGTCCGACCCGTCGAGGATACCTCGTGGCATCAACCAATCACCTATGCCCTGTGTGATAGTGGCGGAGGCTCTCGAGCTCTGACCTATACCATGGGCTGCTTGGACTGGGACGCAACATGAGGCAACTCCTTTCCGAGATCATTGCCAGTTCTCCTTCCCAGAACGAAAGCCTACATTGTTTTTTTGGTCCAGCTTTTTCAATATTGGATCGAGTTGTTTCTGATGGTTTTCATTGTTTTCACTTGGCTGGGAGGATGCTCCCGCCTTTGGTTCTTTGCCAATCCTCCCATCCTCCCAGGCTGCTATCGGGCTTTGACCATGCTGACGCTCGTCCACTCCCGCGGATGGGTCCGCGGGGAACGCCGCGGCGGTCCCGCGCGGGGTGGAAGCACCATCCGATTGAAGCTAGCAGCTAGCCGGATCATCCCGAAGCAACCGTGGTCTTTACGAAGTTTAGGAGATGGAACTCCTTGGAGGAAACGCGGATGAATTTCAAGAGAGTTCCAATGTTCCAATGTTCTGAGATCAGATGATCAGTGTTGTTGCTTGTGATGACGCGGCATCGAATCGACCTAGGTGAGCAGGTACTTGAAGCCTCAGGATTGGGGGCTTTCCTCCGGTGTTATCTTCAAGGTTCGGTGAAGTTTCCAGACCTCTCACTGTCACTGGTTCTGCCTTCACCGGTGGTGGCTGCCAGGACCACCTGTTAGCGTATCAAACTGGTTGCTTAGTTGCCATCTTCGAAGCTGGAACCTCTAGCGGCTTGAAAGGCGGCCATGGTTGTTTGGGGCTTGAAAGAAGCCAACGCACTAAGGGTTGTTCATGGCAGGTGTGTGCAAGGCCGTTTTGTTGCACCCGTAGTGTTTGAAGGTCGCAGGACTTGGGTTGAGTGGGCAAGATGATCTCTCCTCATTCTGCTACCGGACTAACAGGTTCTCAGCGGTTGTTGAGTAACAAACAGGAACACAGTCAGAGAGAGGGTCTTTGCACGCTGGATGTTTAGGTGGTACGGAAGACTCTAACTTCTCTGGCTCAGAAAGTCCGGGATGGGTACAGTAAGCTCAGTTGCGTCTTCCCCTCCCTTTGAGGCCATGTCCAGTGAGCCTGCGTCCTCACCGGTGTGTGAGCACTTCTCGCTGACTTAGAAACCCTTGAGGAAGCACATGGAGAAGTTCCAGTCCGTGAGCAGCGTCTCGGGCGGCACCTGGGGCACCAGCATCTACATGTTCGGCGCGACGTTCAAGGCACGGCGGTCCCGTGTGGCGACGTGGGGGCTGGGGGTGCACCCAAAGGATGGGGTGGGTCGGATGGGGTGGACCGGCCCACCAACGATGGATCTCCCGGGTCTCCAAGGCACTAGTAACAAGTGCCACGCTAGTAGTAACAAGTGCCTTATTATTTAATTCTAATATGCTTTTTGTTACTACTAGTAAGGCACTTGTTACTAGTAGCGATGCACTTGTTTCTAATAGCTTCCACCAACAACTTGGTCTTCTGAAAAGGTGGGTAGATCCCGGTCGGGGGAGTCTTCCGACTTTGGTCCCCTCCTTTTTGGGCTTGAACATGTGGGACTCACCTAGCTCACCTTGTACCAGGACCCTCCGAGCTCGGGATGTCTTTTAATAGCCTCTGTCTGACACATGTGGGTGATTTGGGGTGTCCAAAAACCACCGAACTGGCCTTGACGGTGCATTGGTGTTTGGGTTTCCCGGTCTAAACCTGTTAGGACCAAAGGACGTGGACATCGACTTCGCCACGTGCTCGCCACGTGCCGTTCGCCGCTGATCGTGGGTAGGTTTCCGGCCCACCCAGTGCCAGGTAGGAGTCCATCTCATCACCGTGTGTCTGTCCAGGTCTTGATGCCAGAGTCCAAGGCTCAAGTCCAGTCGCTGCCCGCGTTGTGGTAGCTCCAACTTTGTAGCTCCAAAGCACTCCAAGAGAGGTTGAGAGACCAGAACGTTCGGACCCTGTTCTGTGGTACATATGGGATGGGCGACCAGACGGGCTGTGAGTTCAACCTCTCTTGGGGCCCCTTCCGGCCCCTCCGCCCGCCCGACCGAGCGAGCGCCACACAGGGCTCGCCGGTGTCCAACACGGAGCTGCTGGGGACACCACTCAATCCCCCGGACTGCACGCTGGCGAGGCTACAGGCAGCGGTGGGGGTTGACTCGGGTGTCTGTTGTTTGGCTCGGCCCCGGTGGGACGCGTGGAGTTTGGGATCCCCCTTACTCAATGGTTACATGAGTGACCCTAGCGCTTATGGGGATGATTTTGGATGATTTCGGTGGGTTTCCGGTGTTGCTGGTTTGGGGAGGAATACACTCCTGATACAGTACGAACGGCGTCCAGGGGAAAGAGAGCCCATCGCTCTTAGGTTGGAGGCCATTGCTATTAGGTTGGAGGGGGTGCTAAAGATCACGACGTTGGCGACAGTGAACAGGTCCTTTTCCTGTTTCTACTTACATCAGCCAGTCTCCTGTCGAGCGGGCGGTCTCGTTCAATTAGAGCTTCGGAACTTTGCTTTGGACTCGCTTGACCCTACCTATAGTAGTCGTTACCGTTATCCACTAATCCACCACTACCAGGCTGGAGTAGTTCATGAGTGACTGCACTCTTCTCAGGGTATAGCCTTGGATGTGAAGATCAGTGACGGGTCCCAAACACTCCCTGAATCCACAACAAAAACCATTGCACTGCAAGAGATCATTTAGGGATCCTGAAACTTCAGGAAGAACTTCTTTTGTGACCCCGAAGTGATACCCCCCAAAGCACCCCAAAGCGGTCTTCCAAAGGTCTTGAGGCCCCCGGACCTTGGCCCTCGCGTGCGCACGCAGGAGGCGGTGCCGGCCATCGCTTCGGGCATCGTGGAGGTCGGGTCCGGTGCTTGGCGGACCAAGTGGGAGCGGAAGCCACCGGGCACGACCCAGCGTCGCTTCGTGGCGGAAAGCTGGTCTGCTTGTTAGAGGTCCCTGACTTCAAGAACCATGCAAAATGGGTGGTGCTGGTACAAATATATAGTGTGTGAGTGTGTTGAAATAGGAGGACGGACCCTTAGTTGGAACATGAAACACCGATTTTGCCATGCCAGTCCGGAACATTTTTTTTTTTCACCCCCGACATGAAGGTTCAGGAAATGGTTCAAGACGAATGGTGCCGGCTGTCGACCGAAACCAAGTCCGGTGGCTTGTGGGAGACTTTGTTCCTCACCTCAGACAGAGGCAGGTTGCTTGGGACCACCATGACCACCTGCCTCAGCACTTGACTCCCTGACTCGATTTTTTCATGACTCGGTGGATCGCGAGGCGTGGACGTGGTGTGGACATTTTTTGAGACTCCGGCCTAGTTGCAGTACGTCGCAATGGTTGTGGGAGTGGGAGTGATACTAGTTGTAGCAGATATAGAGATGTATAGAGTAGTGGTGGAAGTCAGTGGTGGCGGTAGCAGGAGCAGCAGCAAAAGCTGATGATTTGACACGTTACTTTCTTTTTGTTTTGTGTTTCACGCTGTTTTCATATGTTGCCAGTAGTGTAAGTATTGGGAGCGGCAGAAATAGAGGAGAAACATGGAGGAACATCTGTTACATATGTTGTTTTTCTCGTTTGCTTTTCGCCAAAAGGGTCTGCTATATAAACGATTTGCATGTTCGATTCCATACGTAACCTTCGAAACGCCCTCCTTCCATGGTTTAGATGGTCAAATATTCACCACAACCTTTTTCATCCAGGTGTTTTTCATTCACCACGCCTTCACCACGAAACCAGCGACCGAAACCAGCTGACTCCGCGTCAGCGAGCTGACGAACGGACGCGGCCAGGGAGATTCGGACAAGATCCTAGCAGAGCTTGGGGTCGAATTCTTGGGCAGGGAATGGGAGGCCAGGCTGGGGGACCGCCAGTTTTCGGGTGATTGGCTTGCGGGTTGGCCTTCTTTTGGTATCTTTTGGTGGGGCACCAAAGCTACTAGAAACAAGAAGCTACGAACGGGGCTCCTGGTCATACTACTAGGAGCAGGAAGCTACTAGGAACCCGGGCATCGCTACTAGGGGCATTCTTACTACTAGTAACAAGAAGCTACTAGGCCTGGAGAGAAGCTCTGCAAAACATCGATGGGCCCGGAAGAAATCGACAGGACATCGACGTCGATCGCTTGCGGGAAAGGAACCTGAATAGACCTTTGGACCTTGGAAGACCATTTTTCTCTACAACCCAGTGGTTTTGAGGTTCCATGTCGTACCGGTGGTTAGCGTATCTCATTTCCATGTCCGAGTTTGGCCTTCTGACTGGGCAACATTTGTTGCCTTTTCATCTATTAAGAAAAACAAAAAGCAGACAGACATTGACATGGTCCATAGTTGGAAGATCGATATAGAACAGACCTCCTCCAAGGGTGCATGTGATGTCCACGACAGCATCTGTCGTCGCTTGTTGTGTTCCCTTCCGGAAGACCTGACAAAACAGAAAGTTGCTGGAGAAAACACTGGACAAACCACTCGTTGTATTTTCGCCCCACCCCCTGTCAAGTCCGGAGTGTCAAATTTCACGAGGTTTGGGATTCTTGGGGCCAAGTGCGATTTGGAATAATGTGTAGTTTTGAAGACGCTGGGTGAGGTTCAATTTGTTGGTGTAGCGCCAGCATTTCATTTGGAACCTTACAACATGTTTGGCACAAAGACCAAACAAAAGAAGGTCATCAATGTTGGCATGGTCTCTCTAGAATATGATTGTATGACTGATTACATGATGAAACACTATTAAACTGGTAGAACAAATCAAACAAGAAAGACTTTGGACCACAAAGTCACATCAGCTGTGCGGCCCAACTATTAAAACCAATCTGACATAATGGAACCCATGTTTGAACGCAGGTGAACGAGAATCCGGTAGACATAGGAGACAACATTGCAAACAAAAGAAACCATGTCAGCAACGTTGGACGTATACAAGCAAAACCAGTAGGAACCAAGCTGTGAAGACAGCTTGGGGCAATAGGCAAAAGCAGTGGGAGCAAACCACAAGGTTGGATGGCGGAAACAAATACTGTAGTCGAAAGTAACACCAAAAACCAAGGTTTCAGTCGGAATTGCAACAGTTTCGGTCAATCGAGGCTGCAAACTGAAACGGCCGGGAAACAGTCGGGAAACAGTCGGAAACAGTCGGGAAACAGTCGGAAACAGTCGGAAACAGTCGGGAAACAGTCGGAAACAGTCGGGAAGCAGTCGGAACTCAGTCGCAAATGTGTGGAACACCTGGGACCTAGAACCAGTGGGAATCACTCGCAAAAAATGATGAACAATCCAAACGACACTGTCAAATAAATGTGCGCTTCAAAAAACACAAAATCACAACGATTAGCAAAAAATGCAAAAAACACAAAAAAACAAGATGAAGCAGTTGGAAACAGTTGGAAGCAAGGACAAAATTATGTGATTTTAGACTCTAAATCCCTGATTTCGAAGTCAACAACTCTTAAAATCACACTTTTTTTGCCGAGAGATTTCACATCATCCCTTGCTTCCAACTGTTTCCAACTGTTTCATCTTGTGTTTTTGTGTTTTTTGCATTTTTTGCTAAACGGTGTGATTTTTTTTTTGAAGCGCACATTTATTTGACAGTGTCGTTTGGATTGTTCATCATTTTTTGCGAGTGATTTCCACTGGTTCCCAGGTGTTCCACACATTTGCGACTGTGTTCCGACTGCTTCCCGACTGTTTCCGATTGTTTCCCGACTGTTTCCGACTGTTTCCGACTGTTTCCCGACTGTTTCCGACTGTTTCCCGACTGTTTCCCGGCTGTTTCAGTTTGCAGCCTCGATTGACCGAAACTGTTGCAATCCCGACTGAAACCTTGGTTTTTGGTGTTACTTTCGACTACAGTATTTGTTTCCGCCATCCAACCTTGTGGTTTGCTCCCACTGCTTTTGCCTATTGCCCCAAGCTGTCTTCACAGCTTGGTTCCCACTGGTTTTGCTTGTATACGTCCAACGTTGCTGACATGGTTTCTTTTGTTTGCAATGTTGTCTCCTATGTCTACCGGATTCTCGTTCACCTGCGTTCAAACATGGGTTCCTTTATGTCAGATTGGTTTTTGTGGAACTTGTAAAGATGTCCAATACACTAGCTCATGCAGGCCCAAAAGGCGAGGCGAGATCGGGGCGGAGGGTTCAATAACCCACTCGTGCATGGTAGCGCGGCGGGGCACGGTATTGTCTAAAGGTAAGGCTGCCGTGTCCAACAGGATCCACTTAGAAGGGCCGCAGGTGGTGAGTTGGAGCATTGCTTCAGTTGTTGTGGGTCTTGCAGTTGTGACCCATTTTGTCGGTGTTGATCAGTTGATCAGGGCAGTGTTGGACATTGGCTTGTGCATTGTGGGCTTGTTGGAACAGCATTGGTTGTTGAGCTTGTACATTGGTTGTCGCTTGGTTGAGCATTTCGTCGGTCGATTGCTTGGGAGACTGGGCGTTGGGTTGTTCTTTTTGTTGCTGTTGACTCCGACATGGCCCAACAACAAGATGCAGCTGGGATGAATGTCCAACAATTGATGCAAGCAATTCAGTCGCTGCAGCAGGGACAAACTCGATTGCAAGAACAGTTGCAGAGGAGTTTGACAGAGAGCCAACAGATGAGGGATGCCAACGTTGTGCTTACTCAGAGGCTTCAACAGGCGGAGACAGAGGTTCGACAGGTCGCTGCTGTGAATGAGGCCTTGAGGCAAGAGAGGGCCGAGAGCATGGAGGTCTTGAAGTTGATCCCCAAAGCCCTCGAATCGATCGGGGGACACAGAGATAGAAAGAACTTGTTTGATAGCAAAGGCTTGGGAAAGCCGCAGACGCTGGGCGATGAGCAAGCAGAGCTTCGTTTCAGGCTGTGGAGTATCAAACTTGAAGATTATGTAGCAGGAGTTTTTGGGGAAAAGTTCAGGGAAGCTATGCAGTGGGCTTCAGAATCAGAGGTAGAGGTAAGCAGTGCATTGTTGGCCAATACCTACGGTGAGCATGCAGATCCAAATGATGTCATTGAAGACATTGATGACATGAACACGAAGTTGTACAGTGCATTGAGGTCGACAACTGAGGGGACGCCTTTTGATGTTGTTGACAACACGTCGAGCAATAGTGGGCTTGAGGCTTGGAGATTGCTGCATAGAAAATATGATCCGGCGACAGGTGGGAGGAAACGCGTGATGCTGAATGCTCTCACTACGCCGGACCGAGCAACCTATGAGACCTTGGCTGGAGCACTGGAAAGGTGGCGGGCTTTGAGGGCCCGATACAATCGGAAGAAGGATCAGTTCGGGAAGCGTGAAGAACTTCCTGAGAGTTTAGCAATGAATGCCTTGGAGAAGCTTGTTCCGAAAGATCTGGAGCAACATTTACAGTTGAACTACACTCGCTTCAAGACATACGACCAGATGGAGGAGGAAGTTCGTGTGTTTGTGGAAGCGAAGACTGGTGCCAAGATGACCATCAGCAACAATTTCAGTCAATCGTCGAGCGAAGCAGTTCCTATGGATGTTGGAGCATTGATTGATGCCGTGAGGGGCATCAAGGACATCGGGGCTCTGATTAAGAGTTCCAAGGGTAACAAAGGCAAGGCTGGTGGGAAGGGCACTGGAGATGGGAAGCGGGCTTGCTACTTGTGTGGCAAAACCAACCATCTGGCAAAAGATTGTTGGAGCAAGTCCTCAAAAGGAAAGGGCAAAGGAAAGGACAGTTCGTTCAAGGGCAAAGGCAAGACTTCATCCTCGAGGAGTTCATCACAGGCCTCACGTTTCCAAGGTCGGTGCAACAACTGTGGCAAAGAGGGCCACAAGGCCAAAGATTGTTGGAGCAAGGGAAGTGGAAAAGGCAAAGATGCAAAAGGGAACTCTCGAGGTGTGAACGCCTTGAATCAGGAGCCGGAGAAGGAAGCAGAAGCTGGTGGCCTAGATTTGTGTCACTTGAGTTCGGACTTGTGTGATGGTTGGCTTCGCTTGAACTATGATACAGGAGCAGCAATTACAGCATTGCCCAAAGTTTACAAGTCGGAGAGCGTGGACTCGGGTCAGAGTGACCGGCCTTTCAAGACCGCATCGGGGGAAAGGTTGGATGATTTGGGCAAAGCAACTATCACAGGTGTTGATGAGAGTGGTCACAAAAGAAGAGTCACTGGGCATGTCACTGATGTCCATAAAGTGTTGTTGAGTGCGAGTTCTGTTCACAAGAAGGGCTTTGACACGTGGCTTGGCTCTGGCGGTGGCAGATTGATTGATCACTCAAGTCGGTTGTACAAAGAGTTGTGCAAAACCTACAGTCGGTTCGGTGGTGTTGGTGAGATCCCCTTGTATGAGGAGCGTGGCGTGTACAACTTGTATTTGCGAGTCGGTGAGAGCGGCTCGCAGTCGAAGGTTGAGTCAGACAGTCGTTCACTTGGATCAGTTGAGAAGCCAAAGAAGAAAGTGTCATGGGCGGACTTGCAAGAGGAGGAGGAAACGGAGCTCCAAGAACCTGCATTAGCTCCGTTGGAGGAAGGTGAGTTGGTGGCTGTCGAGGAGCCAGTTGAGGCTCGTAGGGCCATTCCGGCCTTTGATCCAGGACAGCCTACCCAGAAAGACATTGATGAGCATGAAGCAAGTGGTCACGCGGTTTACAGGGCTTGGTGCCCGCAGTGCATTGAAGGTTGGGGATTGGGACAACGCCACATGAGGCAAGACCATGAGGAAGAGACAGTTTCAGTAGTCAGCCATGATTTCTTTTACATGTCCCCGGAGGAGGATGACAATAGACCGTTTCTTGCAATGATCGACAGGAAGACCAAGATGGTGTTTGCAACAGCTCTTGACAACAAGAAGGCACGGAATGAGGCTAGCTTGCAACAGATGAGGAAATTTTATGAGTTGTTGGGATACAAGAAGTTCATCTCAAAGAGTGATGGTGAGCCAGCAATGCGTGCGTTGAAGCGTGAAGCAGCTGCAGGTTGTGGGGATATCACAATCATCCCCCAAGAGTCTCCTCCAGGAGATCACAAGGCAAATGGTGAAGTTGAGAGTTGCATCAATGATTTGAAGCGTCGCATGCGGGCCAACAAGAGTGGCCTTGAGAAGCGTTTAGGTCAGAGCCTCCCAGAAGACCATGTGGTTTGGTCTTGGTTGCCCCGGTATTGCAGTGATATGATCAACAGATACAAGGTTGGTACAGATGGTCAAACCCCGGAGGAACGTCGGACGGGGAAACAGTGGAAGAAGCCAGTTCCTTTGCTTGGTGAACGCATCATGTACAAAGCGGCTGGATCCAGTGGCAAATGGAGCGATGCAGCAGCAAGGATGCAGTCTGGACATTTTGTTGGATTGCACAATCGGTTTGGATCAGTGTTGGTGCTCACAAAACAAGGTGTTCGGGTCGGCAGTTCGTTTCATCGTTTGTCGGAAGCTGAACGTTGGAGCATTGACGGTTGGAGTGAGTTGATGGGGACCCCGTGGAAGATCCATGCAATAGATGACAGGAAGTTGGAGTCGAGCCCAATGACGCCTGCTCCGATGACACCTGCGTTGATGATGCCGGCAACCCCAGTGCCGGTAAGCTTGCATGAGACGGCAGTGCAAGTTGATGCAGCTGAAGACCAGGAGCATGTGTCGCCAAGGAGTACAGCGAAGGCCAAACCAGTCAAGCGTGCCTTCATTGAGAAGTTCGGAGCTACTCCTGGTTGTGACGGCTGCTACAGTGTCAAGAAGGGCAAGATGATTCAGCAGATACAGCACAGTGCTGAGTGTCGTGCCAGAATTTACAAAAGAATTCAGGAAGAGCAAGATGAAAAACAGATTGCAGAAGACAAAAGGGCCAGAATTGACGAGCCATCCAGTCCTTCGAAACGAAAGGCTGAGGTGGATGTCGAAGTGCTTGAAGGACAGAGTTCATCATCGGCCTCGAGGCCCTCGAGGCCTCCTGCTGCCTTGACCAGGCCGGATTCCCCAAAGAGGCCGGCAGAAGTTGACATTGAGACATTAGTTGAGCAGACCATGGCAGAAGAAGCAACCACATTGCCTACAGAGACACCCACAGATGCAGTCGCTAGTTTTGATTTGAATAGTTTGGAATTTGACATTGACCATAGCTACAAAGCAGTGCAGAAACGAATTTTGGAAGAAATGATTGAACAACAGTTTGTGAAAGAAGGGGTTGATTACAATTTTTCGGAAGTGCAAAAGATCGCAACATTGTCAGCATCAATTTGTTCAGTTGATGTGATGGAGATTTTCTCTCCCAGTCGGTTCACTTCACTTGCAGCTTGCTACGGTTTGCAAAGAGGGGTGGCAGTTGATTTGAATGAGATGAAACCAGATGGGAGTGACATGTGGGATCTTGATCGGAAGCGTGACAGGCTCGAGTTGGAGGCCATCATTGAGAACGAAGAACCTTGGTTGGTGACAGGCAGTCCTCCTTGTGGGCCATTTTCATCGCTTCGCAGTTTGTCAGACTACAAAAGGGATCCTACAGTTGTAGCAGAAGAGATTCGTGTTGGAAAAGAAAGAGTGAAGACATCAGTCCAAATGTACAAGAAGCAGTATGACGCTGGTCGGTATTTCCTTCATGAACACCCTGAGCTTTCAAAAGCTTGGGACATGCCAGAAGTGAAAGAGTTGGAAAGCCTGCCAGGGGTTTATAGAGTTCGCTCGACAATGTGTTGTTGGAAAATGGTTTTGAAAGGTCGTGAACAAGAAGGATACGCGCGAAAGCCTACAGTTTGGCTTACAAATTCAAAGAAGCTTGCTGAAGTTTTGAATCAAATTTGTGGAGAGACCACTCCGTGTTTACATAGGCATGTGAGGCTCATTGGAGGTGTTGCTAAACAGGCACAGGTCTACCCAGATCGACTTGTGCGTGCAGTGTTGCAAGGGCTACGTGAACAGTTGTTGTCGGACAGGTCATTGTCTTCTTTTGAGTCGTTGCATGCGGGTCCATCGCCGCATGAAGAGCTTTGGAATGAAGAGGAGTTTGCTCAGCAGGAAGAAGAGTTCATTGATGCAGCTGCTGGTGTTCTCCTTGATCCGCAGATGGTGCAGAAGGCTCGAGCAGAGGAGCTGAAATGGGTCAAGGACGAGAAGATTTATGATCGCGTTCCCTTGTCGCAATGCTTGGCAGTGACAGGACGTGAGCCAATTTCAACAAAATGGGTTGACATCAACAAGGGCGATGACCAGAGGCCCTTGTATCGTTCAAGGTGGGTGGCAAGAGAGATTAAGAAGAAGAAGGCACCTGGTGAACAGCTTTCGGAAGTTGAGTTGTTTGCAGCCACTCCGCCAGTTGAAATTTTTTATTTGATTTGTTCAATGCTGATGACACAGCACAAAGGTCGTGCAAGAGATCTGAGGCTTGGTTCTTGGGATGTGAGTCGGGCGCATTTCATGGGAACAGTTGAGCGTGATTTGTTCATTAGTTTGCCGCCTGAAGATTTGCATCAAGACACAGATACAGAACCAATGTGTGGCAAGTTGAATCGAAGCATGTATGGCACCCAAGATGCTTCACGGATCTTTCAGAAAGATTGGAATCAAGTGTTGGCAAATCATGATTTTGAGATTGGAAAACTATGTCCAGCTACATTCAAACACAAGACACGAAACATGTGGGGCATGGTGCACGGTGATGATTTTTTGGTTCTTGCCAATGATGTTGATTTACAATTCATGGACAGTGTGTTGCGTTCAAAGTACAAGGTTCGTTGGGAAGCAACATTAGGGTTGAACACAACAGATGACAAGCAGATGTTTTTCTTGAATCGGTTGGTGCAGCTGACGAAAAGAGAGAACGGTGAGTTTCAGTTAGAAGTCGAGGCAGATGCCAGGCACTCTGAGTTGATTGTGAAGCAGCCCAACCTACATGGATCGAAGGGATCTGATGTCCCGGAAGTGAAAGTCAATGAGGTTGACTTTGAGCATCTGAAGAAACAGTCATTGAATGCTGAGGACACAAAGTTGTTTAGGTCGTTGACCATGAGAACGGCCTATCTCTCGCAGGACAGACCAGACTTGGCCAATACAGCAAAGAATTTGGCCCGTGGGATGTCGCAACCAAAGGTGTTTCATTTTGAGAAATTGAAGAAGCTTGGAAGATATCTGGTGAAACATCCCTACGGGAAACGAATTTTCAGAATGCAATACATGAAACAATACCAGTTGATTGGATTCACAGACAGTGATTGGGCGTGTGATTTGGAAACAAGACGTTCTACCACAGGTGTTGCAGTGATGGCAGGGCAACATCTTTTGTTGACCAAGAGCAATTTGCAGAGCGTTGTTTCCTTGAGTTCGGCAGAGGCTGAATATTATGGGATTTGCAAAGGTGCGATTTCCTGTTTGTTTTTGAAACACTTGTTGGAGGAATGGAGCATTCCATGTGGATTGACAATGAAGTGCGATTCAACGGCAGCTCGTGCAATAGCATGCCGTGTGGGTGTTGGTAAAACAAAGCATGTGCAGGCAAGATTTTTGTGGTTGCAGCAGCATACAAGAGATGGGGTGCTGACCATAGAGAAAGTGGACGGAACGAAGAACAATGCAGATTTGATGACAAAGATTTTGAGTCGGCAGATGATTGACAAGCATTTGAAACGAATGAATTTTGTGAGATTTGAATGTCGAAATGCAAAGCAGAAAGCGTTGTTGGTTACAGGTTGAGAGAATTCCCTGGCCAGACTCCGCTACTGCTCTTCACGTCCCTGACGTTCAGAGTCGGGGGATGTGGAACTTGTAAAGATGTCCAATACACTAGCTCATGCAGGCCCAAAAGGCGAGGCGAGATCGGGGCGGAGGGTTCAATAACCCACTCGTGCAGTTTTAATAGTTGGGCCAGCTGATGTGACTTTAAGGTCCAAAGTCTTTCTTGCTTGATTCTTTTCAACCAGTTTAATAGTGGTTCATTATGTAATCAGTCATACAATCATATTCTAGAGAGACCATGCCAACATTGATGACCTTCTTTTTTTGTTCTCATAATTTTCTTTGTGCCAAACATGTTGCAAGGTTCCAAATGAAATGCTGGCGCTACACCAACAAATTGAACCTCACCCAGCGTCTTCAAAGCTACAAATTATTCCAAATCGCACTTGGCCCCCAAAATCCCAAACCTCGTGAAATTTGATAGTCCGGAGTGCTGACGGTCCGGGGCCACGATGGGCGGCCGCGCAGGTCTGGCCTCATGTCATGTCACGCTGGCTCTACCGTGCCTTGGGTCCTGGGTCGTGAATCGTGGCGGCCGAGCCCAAGCACCGCCCAGCTCGGGTGGTTCTAAAAGACCTCCTGAAGAGGTATTTTGCATCCAACAACCACCCGACATGAATGGAGGGGTGTAGACTCTTAGGTCAATACCTCCTCCCCCCCGATGTGGATTGTAGAACCAGGCAGGCCTCGGAAAGTCTACGTGTGCACGGACGTTCCGGTTCCAACCACCCCGGGCCTCTGCTCCGAAACCCTATCACCGGCCTCTGCTCCGGGACGCGGACGCGGACGCGGACTAGTGACTAGTCCGGTCCCTGAAACCGGGCTCTGCGAGTGGTCTCCGACGACCGGGTCCGGGTGCCGGGCTTCGGACTCCGGAGATCCCAATGGCGCCGTTTGCCGCGACGTCTGGAGCCTCCGAAGAAGTCGGTCTAAGGGGGCCGGACCCGCCGGTCAGAGGCCCGTTTGGAGGGAGGGGCGGTTTTCACGGATGACCTGCCAGGAGCATCCGATGGTCTCGGGGTGTCCTGGCTGGACTACCCACTGCATGCTTCGGGATCGAACACGCCAGGACACCCATTCTTGCGGGACTGGACTATACGAAGAACACCTGCCTGGTTCTCCAAAGTGACCGAACTTGATATCCCAGTTTGAGGCCACTGTTTTGGCTTGTAAAAGTCAGTGGATGGCACTCCAAAACAGGTCACTTGGAGAAGCTGGTGGAAGACTCTTTCACATCTACTCGACCCACCTGAGGCTATTTCGATGACCTCAAGAGCTTTGACAACTACACAGCGGTGGACGCCGCGCAGATCGCGAAAATCAAAGAGCAGAATCCGCAACTGGAGACCTGGCTGCGTTCCGATTTGAGGCCTGGATTCCAGTGGGTTCCCCCCAGAACTTCTGATTTGCCACCAACCAAAAATGCCCCCCCCCGCTTTGCCACCTGAAGAAACCCGAGTGCTTAAGCACTCGGTGTTGTCGCTGCCACGCAGATCGGTCCGACCATCGATGTCTGCCACGCGTGAGATGGCTGGGGAGTCGACCATGGAGTCGACTGGGTTGTTTTAGGGGTCTTTCAACAGCCAGGCCCTTAGCCTTCCAAGACCTTTAAAAGAAAGGGACCTTGTAGTAAAACAATGGGATGACGGATGCTTCTCCTCTGTTTTCTTACCATTACCAAAACAATGGTTGTTTGGAAAAACACATGAAATCATATGAAATCAATGGTTGTTGGAAGCCTAGGGAAGGGTGGTGGTGGTTTCCGATCTCCAAGTGATGGCAGCCTGGCAGCTTGGATGTTCATCCTGGGATGTGGTCGAGATGCGCGGAAAATCGCAGGAAAATCGGAGGATTTTCTGTGGAGAGTGGAGGGCCTGCTTCATCCAAGGGATGAACTCTCCTTTCTAGCTGGTTTTGACGGGAGTGAGACTCATTAGACATGAGGGCTTTGCCTTATATAGGTGACTCCATGAGGTGTTTTCGGGGAATGATCTGTCAGAATCTAGCCCACGCCCACGAACTCCAGAACTCCAGCGCCACCCCAGCTGAACTCCAGCGCCACCCCAGCTGAACTCCAGCGCCACCACTGAGGAGAAGAAGCCCTTCCTGTCGATGCGCGCGGACCGCCGCACCCAGGCCGCGGTCGCCCCGCGGGACCCGCCCTCGCCCCGCGGGACCGCTCTTCGCACCGCTACCGGACCCGACCCGGACGGCGCCGGTGAACCCGGTGACCGGAATCACCGACTCATTTGTAGGGGATATGAATCGACTTAATTATAGACAAACCCCAAAACAAAGACTGAACAGCTGCTGGGCCGAGCCCGTTCGGCCGATCCCCGAACCCCTCCCACCCCTGCCGGTGGCCATCGCCGTTGTTCCCACCGGCGCTCGACCTGTTTTCGGACTTGGACCGATCGGTCGTGGCCCTCTTTGACCTGCGGAGATCGTCGTGGTCTTGTTGGAAGCCTCCGCGCATTGCGCCCGAGCCAAGCACTGTAAACCAACCAACAGAGGTTGAAGAACCCGAACGTTCGACTATCCCAGTTCGGTACCCCAACTAGGTCCTATTTACGGTCACTGTCCACCTCTGTTGGAATTCTCACGGGAAGCGCGGGTCCATGTGCAGGTCCATGTAGAATCTTCGGATGACATATTCACCCCCTTGTATCGAGACATGGTCCACCGTCCGCGCAGTTCCGCCCGGTCGCAGGCGTACACGATGTGTTGCACGATGTTGTCCCCCGAGGGCCGCCTGGCCACCGAGAGCAACGCGGTGTCGTTGCAAATGGCGGCCAATCGGACGGGGAGCCCCTTCTACCCCGACAATGCGCAGGTGAAGTACCAGAAGGCGACGGGCCGCGTAAAATAGGGCTTTCTCTCGCAGGGAAGCCCATAAGATATATATATGTTTCCGGAGTATTTCATATTCCCTAGAGACCATTCTCTGAATAGAACTGCTGCCATTTTTGTTGTGTGCTCTGGATCGCATGGACGATCGCATGGATTCGCTCAGTTCTACCACCACGCGGGGTGAAGAGATTGGCCGAGGAATTCTTGCGAATCTTCTCTATACATAGCCTATTCGAAGTCCAATTGGCCTCAGGTGAAGTCAAGGAAGTTCCGGAACTCCATGGTATATAAATAACATAACCCCCGCACCGAACATCCATGGTTTTGTTTTAACTACTCGTAAGAGCTCGTAAGTATTTTTTCTCTATACAAAACCAGATCAACCATTTTTCAACTGGCCTTGGAAGGCTGGGGTCAGATGACCGCTTAAACACCCACACAGTGTGAGCGCCAACTCTCTTGTTTGTGGGAGGCATCCAAAAACCATTACAGGGTCGACCGTCCACCCAATGGTCACGGACAGCTTTTAAACCCCCGGTCCGACCCGCCGCTCCATTCACCGCTGGCCGGTTCCGGCAGGCACCCATTTGCCCCTGTGACAAGTGCTGCTACAAGTGCTGCACCATCACACGCACGGTGGGGGGCGCAGGATAGGAGGGCGGTTTCGCCCTCGGACAGAATGGACGTTGGGAAAACACTGTGGTGAAGAATACCAAAGGGGTTTGTTTAAATGTTAAAGATCCCTGTCGCTACCGAGAACAGAGGTTGGGCGCACGCTCATTTTCAAGCTTTGAAATGGGTTAAAAACAGCACTTTTCAAACACCGCAAAACGGTTGCTTGGGGGATGTTTCAGGAGAGGGACATGCAATGGACGATTTGAGACATCAGCAGGGCGCTGAGGAGCGCTTTTCCTGCCGGTAAGTCCAGCCAGAACCCAAACGCCGTTGGGTGACCCGTGGGAGTTTGGCGCGTGCTCCAGCGCCTTCCGAAACCGGGGTCTCCACACTGTGGATCTCCACACTGCTCACACCTCAACATGAAGCTTCAGAAGTTTTGAGAGGGGATTTCGTGTGCTCCAGCACCTTCCGAAACCGGGGGTGTGGAGACATAAAGCTTCAGAAGCTTTGAAAGGGGATTTTTCGACCAGTTGACGTGGCCGTAGCTCAGCTGGGTGGAGTTTTCTCTCCTTCTTGGCCAGTTGATGTGCCCTGCATGGCCATCGCTTTGGGTGTCGGACGAAGCCCAAAGGCTTCGTGGGGACCGGGCGAGGTGGGCGGTGGCTTTGTGGAGAGCTTCGCCTTCGGCGGAGAGGCACCCAACGCCAAGGGGCAGATGGGTGGCCAAGGCGCTCTCGCAAGCTCAGCTGGGAGTGGGGGGGGGCAAGCTTGATGGATGGGATTGAGATGGGTTCTAGAGAGATCCTGAGTGACGCCTACTATATATTGAGACCACCCATATCCACCAAAGACCACCCGAAATGCCATGGCCGGCTGTTCCCGATTTCATCATGGAGGTCGCACGGGGTTCTATTGTTCTATTCACCCGGTGGCGTGAGTTCCATCGTCGATCGATTCAAAAAAGGTGAAGTATTTCAGCATACCTGGACAAGCCACCTGAGATACAACCACACCAGCTGGACCAGCTGGTCGGAAAATCCCTTCCAAAGAAAACCATTGGGACCTCCATGTGGGGGTGCAAATTCCATGGAGATCGACAGCGTCTACAGTAGTCGATTTCGGAAGGTGCTGGTATGTTCTTGGTTGGGAGTCGTTGATATCAATGCCTGGAGGCCCTCGATCTCTGCTCGGAGGCGAACTGCAGGTCGGTTCCGTTGAAATCCACCGCGGCCTGGCAGTCGCTGTGGCGGTTCTTTGACCACAATCCTTTGCTTTTGATGGGTGGCTTCTAACGCCCCTGCCAGAGTGCGGGGATCACTCAAAAACCTCACAGCTATCACCTGACCGCGTGGGGCCAGGTTCAGCGGTGCCTCCGCACCGCGCAAAACGTCGAGCGAAGTCCCTAAGAAGTTCCGGACCGCGGGAGGAGTGTCCCAACATCGGGGACGACCTCGACTCACATGGCTCACGAGGTGTCAAGGTGGGCGCGCCGGCGAAGCCCTTTGCTTTGCCCTACATGGCTGGCATGAGCACCCTGGCACCCCAACGGACGGATAGGTCGTCCTAGACGTGGCGGGGGGTTGGTCAACGTTGAGCCGAGCGGTTGTTCGCGGAAGGAGGATCCCCAGTGGGGAGGGGCTTCAAGGAGAGTACCCGAAGTGGGGGGGGAACGAACTCTGAGTCACCGGTTGATCGACCGTACGGAGATCGTGTATATATACGCAATAAGATTTTGATCAATAACCCCCTCTCATTCGAGAGTTCTTTTCAATCCAAATGGCGGAGGTTTCTTGATCCCACATCTCCGGGAGAAGCCACCTTTGCTCCCTGGTCCTGGAGCCTCTTCGCCGTGGTCCTTTGTCCCCTCCCGGCCCACCCGCCCTGGTCCCCGTCCCGTCCGAGGCAGCTGGGCGCCGGGCGGCGTCATGGACAGCTCGGCGGTGTTGGGGGAGCTGGGCAACCTCCGCCGCTCGGCTCAGGACGGGCAGGAATTCGGTCCCGGGGTCCCCTGCTTCGGTCGTGGTGGAAGAAAACCCCGAACAAGCCAGGCATTGGTCGGTTAGTTCATGTTCGTCAAGTCGCGGAAGTTCCAGTTGCAAAGGAGGTTTTCAAAGCGTTTTCAAAGGGGGGTGCTATCCATGGAGGTGATATGGGTGCCCCTGTCACGTCACATCCACGGCCCATTCCATGGGACGAGCCACACCACCCCAGGCCCTCTATCTGGGACTCCCACCCGACTTCGTCCAAGACCCGACTTCGTCCAAGAGGCTCCCTGTCACCTCCTTCGTGACTGCAGGGCCCGGCTGCACCCGGCTCCAGGACCCTTCGCTCGTTCGGTATGTTCGGTGGTTTAAGACCCATCATCCCGGAGGCGATTGATAGACACCCCAAACTTCCGAACGGAGGCTCCTGGTACACTTGAGTTGTGGGACTGGGTTTGGCGCCAGATCATCAAACATCTACAAATTGACTTCGCCTTCGCTCAGCCTGCCCAAGCCGCCTTCGCTCGTCCTGCCCAAGCCGCCTTCGGGCCGCTGCGACTCGGCCCGAGGCCAGAAGTATTGGCCCGTGACGTCTCCGCATCTCCCGCCGCTTGGACAGCAGCTCACCGCCCGGGCTGGGGCTGGTGGGCCTGAAAGGTGCCGATAAGGGCGGCTTTGGGGTGCCGATCTGGCGCAGGTTGGCGTGAAAAAAGGCGGGTGCCGTTGATTCGGAGGTTGGAGGTGGGAAGTTGGAGAGGTCGAAGATACGCTTCTGGTTCATGATTTTGATAGGTTTAGACTCTGGCAGGGCTCACAAGAGACAGTAGCGGCAGCTTTTTCACCCCATGATTTGACCACATGTACTCGGAAGCCTTGGTTTCTTGGGGCATTTGATCAGCCAAAAGCTTTGGGGGGAGTGGGACCTTGACGGCTTTGGAACGAGATCTGAAAGAAATTACCCATATAGCTATAGCCCTGGCCCGGGATGTGTTCTCTGTTCTTTGCATTTTTCCAGTACAGAAACCCAGGGTTTCGTTCGGTCTACGCTTCTTTCCTCTTTGGAACCACATATCCCGAAGAAAATTGGTGGGAGCTGCCTGGATCCGGGGTGATGTCGCCCTCCTTCGGGACCACCGCGCCGGACCGGACCCACCGCGGCACAGGGGACCCAGCGCGCTCCGCCAGGAAGGCGCAGAAGGCCCTGATGTACGAGTTCGGCGACGGCGGCCTGATCGACAACTCCGGCGTGTTGTGCCAACTGCAGCGCGGCGCCCCGAAGTTCGCCGCTTGGACCGGTCGAACAAGCCACGCCAGGTGGGCGGAGGGTGGTGGGGAGGGACGGGTTGGGGAGGGACGAGTTGGGAGGTTCGTTCAGCTTGGTAGGTCACGTTGATGTCTGTCAGGCCATTGGGGATCACAAGCCATCCATACAAAGGACGAGAGCAACGAACAACCAGGCCTTGGGGTTGCCTCGTTTTTTCTGATGGATGATCCAAAGGCTTGGAAGTGGAGGATTGAGGATGAGTCGAAAAAGCATAGGAGGATTGAGCGAAGTGGAAATCTTGGGATTTCGGGTTAAGAAAAAGACGTTTGCCTACCCAGAACTTCCAATGGCTCATGAACTACCTATGATTATGGTAGTCGCAATCCGTCCCCCATAGGAATCCAAGGACTGCACTTGTCCTTCGTGAAGTCAAAAGGTTCCTTTCATAGTCTTTGACTCCCATCAAGCCAAGGGTGCCCTGTCTGGACGCCTATAGGTAGTGTGGGGTAGTCCATTGGACACCCCTTGGATGGTCCTGGTAATTAGATTGTTCATGCGGATTCCGGGGCGGCATCTACTTGGGCATCCCTCTCTCGCGCGACCTCTACTTGTTGTTGACGCCGGAGCCCGGAGGGGACTGAAGTCCTGAACATGGTGTTCTGCACAAAGATAATTCTCGAATTCTTGGTCAGAGAATTCATCCAAAGATCCAACTGCAGAGATTCTTCAAAACCCCTCCATGTTTCTTCCCCCAAACCAAGTCAGGTCTACGGAACCTCTCTGAAGCCCGAAATCGCTCCTCGCGTCCTTTCTCGAAATGTTTCCCAGGTTTGGATCGCCACGGCCTGGTCAGCCTTCAGCACTACCTATGATGCTCGCAAGCAGCGCCACTGCACGTTTGTTTTTCCCGCTCTTTTTTTCTCGAAAGCACATGCGAAAAGGTTCTCCTTCAAGAACGTCTACCAACTTCAACTGGGTAACCATCATCTTCATCATCATGATACAATTCACATGCAGGATCATCATGTTAATGATGTAACATCATGATCACCGTCGTCGTCGTCCTCCTCCTCCTCCTACTCCTCCTCCTCCTCCTCCTTTTTATCATCATCATCATCATCTGAAGTTGCACAGATGCAGGTGATTAACATGATTGTCATCATCATCAAGTGCATAGATGCAGGGGCAACACCTGGCATACCACATCTACATAGATACAGGTGTTGTGATACAGGTATTGAGACAGAGGTTTGGAGGTATAGGTGATAGAGGTGTTGAGATAGATACAGTTGATACAGGTGTTGAGATAGGGGTGAGACAGGTGCTGAGGTACAGGTGATACAGGCGTTGAGATACAGGTGATTACAGGTGTTAAGATCTAGGCGAAGGCACCTACAAGAGTTCATCTACACAACTACAACTTCAAAATCTTTTCAAATTACGTACCAGTTACTAATTACTCTTTAAGGCGGCGGGGTGGCCGGACCGATGCTCACGAAACGCAGCCCTCTGCTGAGATCGTGCCTGTACAACCTTTATATATTCCTTTCATTCTTTGTCCGAATTGATCTTGCACGCGTGTTTTGACTGAATCTCTCTCTCTCTCTCTCCCTCTCTCTCTCTCTCTATATGGTACCCCCCCCAAAAAAAAAAGAAACCTACATGATCTTAGGATTCATTGGTATTTGCAGTGTGTTTGATAATTTCTTTATATGTTTTTTGGATCTACTTTTTCTTGTTGTTTTGGTGGTACCTTCCTTAAAACCATCATGCCTTAACACTTAATACAAAGTACTTGCTTTTGCGTTTACAAACGCAAAGTTTGCAAACGTTTGCAAACGCTCCACTTCTTGGATCCAGGAGCCTCAGGATCCAAGATCCAAGATTCCAGGGAAAACTTCTTAGAAGAACACCAGGAATTGAAGACATGTCATAGTAAACGAATAAGAGGACTCCGTCACCAGGATTGAGTCTTGGATCCTCAGGCTCCTGGATCCAAGAAGTTTTCCCTGGAATCTTGGATCTTTTCCCTGGAATCTTGGATCTTGGATCTGGAGCGTTTGCAAACGTTTGCAAACGCATGCAAATCATTTGGTCTCCCTTCATCAGTTTGAGTGCCGCATGTTTGCTACTAATGTCTGCCCAGAACTTGAGCGCAAAGCCTCTGCATCGCCTGGTCAGCTGTCTCCGCAGGTGCCTTCCAATGTCTGAGTGCCGCATGTTTGCTACTAATGTCTGCCCAGGACTTGAGCGCAAAGCCTCTGCATCGCCTGGCCAGCTGTCTCCGCAGGTGCCTTGTCTGTGGTCTGTGCGAAAGGCCTGGGTTGAGGAAAAGGAGAAACTCATTGTCTTCGGCAATGGCAAGAGTTGGGCGGATATCGAAGCAGACGAGACCACATTCACGAGCACAGATCTCAAGGACCTTGCTGAGGATCCCAAAAAGCCTGTGGTGTGGGAACAATGGTGTGGCCTTGTTCAGCGTGGTCGCCCAGATACGCTGCTGTTGAAGAGATTGCTCCCGATGATGTCTGCCAAACGAGCACCTGGTCCCGGAGCCATTCGCAAGGTTGAGTGGAAACTTTTGGCCCACAAGCATCTGCAAGACCGACGTGTCATCCTTCACTCTGATGCCGCCAAGTCCTATCGCTTGCGTTTGCCTGGTGTCCTTCATGACCATGTCAGACACTGCAAGAAGAGAGTCAAAGTGAAGAGCAAATGGGTATGGAAGCAGCCCACCTACGTCAAAGTCGCTGTCCACACAGACCCCGCCACAGGCAAGAAGATGAAAACCAAAGGTGGGACACAGATCATCGATCGTGCTTGGCGCTATCTGAAGGACAGGATCAAACTGAACCAAAAGTGTACAGTGGGGTCATCACTTTTGCGGGCGAAGATCCGCAGTGCCCAGTATGAGTACTGGCATCGCAACGCCGATATGTGGCTTGCCTCTGGCGTAATCTGTGGCTGGCATAATGCCAAAATCACAGAGTGAACTTGCACAGGGAGTCGCAATGGATACAAAAAATGTCGCGCCTCTTCTTGTCTGCTTCGTAAACCTTCACATTGTGTAAAACCTCGTGCGTCTTGTGCAAACATCATTCCTTCATCTGTGAAACAAACTTTTGCTTTCATTACACATGCCAATGCCTATCATTACACATGCCAATGCCTATCATAATATCATGCCTCTGACTGTCTGGTAAAACCAACACATCTGGCAACCAGGCATCTCACCCAAACACCTGACTAAGCGTAGGTTTTTTGGGGGGGGTAGCATATATATATATATAATATGTATTCACACACACACACCTCTCCTTGGTGCGAATCTTTTGTTGTGCTGTATAGAAATGGCTCTTCAGACGTATACACCATGCGCACACTCTTGACCACTTGAACATTCAATTCGGCCATTGGCGAGCATTCCTTTAGTGCTTTGTGGTCTGTGGAACATACATTTAGCTTGGCTTGGACATTGAACTTGTTTGTGTAATTTTGTGTAGAACGAACAACACACGCGGAAAAATGTGCCAGATCTTGGATGCGGTGCTTTTGGGGTTGTCAGCCGGGTTAATTTTGCAGTGCAAAAGTTCCAAACATTTCATTAGTCAGTTGAAATAAACACAAAAAATTAATACCGAAGGTCCCTTTGCAAGACTGGGTTCCACATGTTCACCGCCGTTCGCCGGCCATGTTCACCGCCGTTCACCGGCCATGTTCACCGCTGTTCCTCGCCGAGGACTGGGCAAATGCCACAGTGGAAAATTTTGATCCCATAGCGGCGGGGGTGGTCGACCAGCTCTACGTGGATCGACAAGCAGCGTTGGGTCGGAGGAACGTTGGGTGCCAGCGTTGGGTCCCTTCAAGGCTGTAAAATCCTCAGACTCATTGCCGGCAGTGGGTTTTGACAAGTTTTCCAATTAGTTTCAATGTTTTTTGAAAGTTTGGCAAGGGCCCCTTACAGACAACGACGGCTGGAAGCTGCTCTGCGTGTGGCGTGTGGGTTGCCCAAATGTAGTGAGGGAGATGATGCTTGAGGAGAGTCCTTGCAACATGATTTTTGGTATGGAGTTCAGGAACCGTAGCTTGAGCATTGCTTCCACATATCTACACATGTAAGCCGTGTACAGTAGTTCACACTCCTGTGGGACCATATTTTACCGGCCCCTCTTGGGTTTACACATCATATATACTTGATATTCAGTGGACAATTTTTAAGTGGAAGACCAACACATAACATGCAGGACGTTGAACACCTGCAGGAAGGCATTGGGGTAGGAGGTTTTTCAAGGTTTAGCCCCCCAGTGGAATTCATCGGATGAATTTTCTTTCATTCTGAACCAGCGATGTGATCCAAGAGGTCTCTAAAAAAACGGACACGACGAGCAGAGAATCTCCGCTACTCAGCTGAGCAGCATTTTCCAGCTGTCCACCCCATCCGAAGTGCTTGGCGCGTCCCCACCGCCCCCGCCTTTTCCGGTTGTTTTCCTTCCGAACTGCGTGTTTCGCCCGGTAGGATGCAGGTGTTCTCCCCCGCCCTCAGGGTCAGTGGGGCGGTCCCGGAGGGCCGAAGCGCTGAAGGAACTCGCTGGAAGGACCCGCCAGGGCGCTAGAGCGCCCCGCCACCCCCGCCCCCTCCCCCCCAGACCGGAACAACGGCAATTTGGGGTCAAGTGGTGCCGCGAGCGACCGCGAGTTCCGCATTTGGCATTTGGCATACTGTATCACCTCCTTTCCCACCTTCTTTCAGCCCTTTCGAGAAGCGCGTGGCGCCACGCAGCGCGCCACGCGCCACGCAGCGCGACGCTCTCCAAGGTGCTCTTCGGATACAACACGACGTCGGAAGGCTATTTCTACGCGAACGATCAGGTCTTTGCTCCTTGGCGTGGTGGGGGTTACGGGTGGGAAAAGCACCGAAACGTCGTGTGACGGGGGGTGTTTCCCCTCGAAGACGCCCCGGGGTGGCCCCTCGAAGACGCGAAGACGTGGACGTGCCCAACGTCTCCGTGGCTTCAGGGCTATGAAAACACAGCCAAGCTTCAGTGGATGAGTGAAACAAGCCAAGCTCGCTCCATAGAAAAACGGCATATTCACATGCATGGGAGGTGGTTGAAAAGGGGGAGAACCATGACATGGAGTGTCTGGGTGAGAAACCTACAGGATCCAGCTGCTTGAAAGGGTTGTCTCTCTGCCTCGGACGGAGGTCCACCCGTTGGACGTTTGGTCTTCGGAGGTCCACTCCACCCGTTGGACGTTTTCCTTTGCAGAAACGGCTCGAAGTGCCATCTTCGCTCTTGGAACTGACGTTGAGGCTTCAACCCCGCTGAGGGTTGGTCTTTGGAAACTCATTTTCTTCGGAACAAAAGGAGCCATGCCAGCCATGTAACCCCGCCAAAGGCCAAAGGCCAAGTTACACCTGGTTCTTGACCTCATTGAGTACTGGTTTTGCATGACCGGATCCAGTCAAATGAGATCCTTGACCTGTCGGGTAACTGTCACGGTGTGCATGCTCCAGTGTAAAGCCTGGTTCAAGGTAAGGGAAGAACTTCCAGGCTCCGAACACCTTGGGGGCCGCTTTGGACCCATCACCGCCGGCACCCTCAAACCGGCGTCTTTCGGACGCCACAGGCACCAAAGAGCAGAATTGCCCTCTTCATTCAAAAACACTTCGAGCTGCTCCTGAAGACCAGCTTCCCTATAGAGAAGAGGTGAACACTTTCCCCCCTGAAGACCAGCTTTCCTTCGAGCTGCTCGCAAATCCTACAGGTTCCAGCAACAGTCCTACTAGATGGTCTAGAGGGTAGACGATTCCGAGGAATTTTCAAGGGCATTTTGGAGGGACGGACGAACTTCAGTTGTTTGGACTCCAAAATCAGTCGTTTCCCAGACGCTAGTACTGATGCCACTGATAGTACTGATGCCGCTCCATTGTCCCCTGAAATCAACCCCCCAAATGTATAGATTTAAATCATACTATGACTGCCATGGAGTGTTTGGGTTTCAGAAAGGAATGAAAGCGAGCCTGTCAGCAACTCAAGCCACAACTCCTCCTGGACGTTTGAAATCTTCACCTTTCCCAATCCCTTTTGTTGGAATTCATGCCAAGCACCGTTGTTTCCTTCTTTTTCGTTTTGTGACCGTGTTTCACTGCTCGGCCAACCTGGACCAGAACCGCACGAACTTCTCCGCGCCCCGAGGAAAAAGACCTGCTGCTGCCGATGTGCAAAGAGCTCCGTGCGCTGGCGCTGTTGGGGAAGCCTGCCGTGCTCAAGAAGACCATGAGGGTCCTGCCGACGCTTCCTCGGCACTGAAACCTGCGGGGCGGTCTGCGCCGAAACACCACCGGCGACCACGCACGAAACCACGGGGGGCGACCTATAGAAATGAGTCGTTTTGTTGGGCAATAAGATACGGGCTCCCTTTTTTTTTGACCCGCGCACCCTTTTTTTCTGACCCCCCCTTTTTTTCTGACCCACAACCCTTCTTTTCTGACCCACAACCCTTCTTTTCTGACCCAC